TATATATAGAGAGAGAGATATCTGTGTGCGTGTGTATATGTGTTAACTTTGATGTTATAATTCTGTATTTGCATGCTATAAGTCATTTTGGATTTAAGCCTCTGTTAAAAGCAGAAACATTTATACGTATCATGTACAGAAACACATTTCTACCCACTTTCCACTATGTCTGAGTGTGTTTTACTCACTGAGGGATGCTCTCGAACTCAGGCATGGTGAGGAACTCCATCTGTTTCACAAAGTTTTTGCTGCTCTTCTTGACATTTTCTTTCTGAGCTGGCTGAGGATCGGCTGCTTCAGACTGGCTTCTGGTAGCTTCGTTCCCACTGAAAGATTAAAGACCATTCAGACGTTGTCACTTTTCCCTCGTTTTGTGTTTTCTTTTATCACATAAGAAGATTTTAACATGTGTGGTAGGTTATTAATATAGTATAACTGAAGTTCTGGTTCATGCTAAGTAAGCTGAGCTCTGGAGAGCTCAATTTGATGCACTCTTTAAAAAAAAAAAGACTAGCAATGGTTCCAAAACTCATCATCAGAGAGGTTTCAAAAGTATAAGTGTGAGAATAATAACAGGGGAAATAAATACTTCACTGGGCCGTTCCTCCGGGGGATGTGAGGAGGGATGTTGTCCTTTATGTGCTTTAAGTCCTCCACAGTCTTTTGGAAGAACTGCTCCACTCCCTGAAACCCAAACAAATGTGAATTTATTATTGATATTAGATTTGAAGTCATTTAGTTAACTCTGCTTTGACAGTTTAAATCCACCCATCATAGTCAGTCAATTGTTTTTAAACTTTTGGACTTTGTTTCTGGGTTTATCCTGTGGTTTGGGTTTTTCTTGGTTTTCTGAGTTCAGTTTTGTAATTTGGTTAGTTCTATGTTTTATTCCAGTCTTCATCTTCCCTTCCTTCAGTTTCCTCCTGTTTGTCATTAGCTCTATTCCCTTCACCCGTGCTCCACTTATCACCCCCCCTCTATATAAGCTACTGTACTTTATTAAGTTCTTGTCAGATCTTACTATCAATTGACCCTCAGTTTGTCCATCCAGGCAGCCATGTTGCCTCCAGCCAAGTCTCCTGTTCTGGCCCTTAGTTCCTTTATTTTTTTTATTATTATTCTGTTTCTTTTTACCGTTTCTGTTTGGGCTTTTTAAATCATATATGTGAGGTATCTGAAGTCATTAGATTCTTTGTGTCCTGTGTCTCCTTGCTGCCGGCATTTTTTACGTATTGCCAGATCTCTAAGATGTCGGTTGAGGTTCATAAAACGGCTTTTATGCTCAAACTCGACATTGAACTTTGGACTTTAATCAGAGTGATCATTAGTACCCACACACCTATGCACAAGCACAGGTTAAACTCCCTTTAAAAAGCCGACCAAAGTTTGTAGTCAGCAGATCTAACTCTGACTGAGCTGCCACGGGCTTTGCTCACAGTGTTCCTTAAATCTATATTCCTGCATGAAGACATTTTATTTTGTCTACTTTGGTCCCATTAATGGATTCTCAACTTGATTTGTGGAGTTTTCCAGTAAACCAAAGATTGTTTGTTCCACTTTGTTTGTATGAAGCAGATGTCTAGAATAAGAATCCATGTATCAACAAGATCAACTGTACAAATAAGAAATCAAATAAGACTCAAAATTATTATTATTATGAATGTAGATGTTCTCCCAAACTCTTTACCTTCAGCTGGTTGAGTTGTTTTGTCTGTTGATCCACACATTTCTCCAAGTCCTCCAGAAGTTTCTCAAGAGAAAACAGTTCTTGTCCCAATTTCTTTATCTTGTGTTGAGGCAAATCTAGACGTAGAGAAAAAGAGACGTATCTTATTTGACTGTCCACTTTAGTTTTGCAGGACAGGGCTGAAGGAAGGTTGACGCAAGACTCTGTAGTTTTGGGAGATATTTGTGTATATTTGTGTTTCAAGTTATGTCCATAAGCATGACAGACATTTCTTTGTTCACAGGCAGTAGGTGACCATCTATTCAACTTGGATTTCCCTCTAACGTTTGTTTGGGCTTCAAAATAATAGCGCAAACAAGGCTTTATGATATGTTTCTGCATTTAGACCCTTTTATCCAAAGAAACTCACAATCCAGACACAACATTAGAGTTAGCTTCAACCTGAAAATGAGCTACATAGAATAAAATCCCTAGCCTGACACTGTTAGAGGAAACAGTAGTGACATCTGGATCTTCAAGGGGAAGCAACACATTTAGGCAAAACCTTCTAAGATGAGTGTGCAAACTTTTCTTAAAACTTCTTCGGTTCAGATCAGGAATACTGTGAAACTATATCCCCAATATTCTGACAAAACTAAACAAACATGGGCCTTTTAATGAGTTGTTGGAGGTTTGCTGACCTAAATATAGTTGTATTATTTTAATTGAAGCCTTTAATCAAACTGTATATACATATACATATATTTGTATGTATGTCAAAAAGTATGTGTGTATATATATATATATATATATATATATATATATGTACATTTGTGTAAATGTGTGTATGGATGGATATTTTGGTCTGCAGGGTTTCATACCCAGCATTGGTGTATCATACCAATAACTGACAGATCCAGCATGTGTTGTAAGGAGGATATTTTATCATGAATGTGTTGGCTGATGTCTTCGAGGTCACTCATTTTCCTGAAATAGAAAAACAAAGTAGAATTACTAAATCTTAAAGTCAATACAGCAAAGTTTATGAGATTTTTAAAAAAAATCACAAATCAATAAATGCACACATCTGATTAACTGAGGAAATCCTCAACAGTTGGACTTAGATACCAAATATTTATCATACTTTTCACTGATATATATATATATACATATATATATAAATAATAAGAGTAAAATAAGCTAATAAGAATTCTTAATTGAATTTGTTTCGTACACATTGTTTTTCTTCTGCTTTTCCTCTTTTTTGCATTCCAACAAACCAACCTTTAACAGTTAACGCCTGAAAAAGGAAACTTATCTTTATTGCCATATATCTGAAAAAGGTTTAAGAATTGAAAACATTTGTTTACGTTTATGTGAAGTTTAATGACGAGCTCCGAATAACGTCGTAATGTCGTAAACCCACGTTTAGGCTCAAACAACTCATTAAAAGACCCACGTCGGTTACTTTTTTTACCGAACAGAATAAGTTTTAAGGAAAGTTTACTACGTACTTAGCTTAAAGCTTTCTCCTGAACGCTCGTGCTGCTTCCTTCCCGGTTATTTTGAAATCTAACAACAACCCTGACGTCAGAAACGCGCATGCGCATTCAAACTGCTGCCTTCAAAGACCGTAGAAATGATCAGAATGACGTCAAGATCAACATTTTAGCATCCCACAGATTTGTTGACAGGGATTGGGCTATATTATACAATTGTTTTTTTTTTTTATCAAAAACGGCTGTTTATATCCTGTTTATACAAACTTAAAGTCCACGCTTGGACACATTAGTCTTTTATTAATCTCACAGAGGGGAGATTTACTTGTTACAGCAGCACATTCATGAATACATCCAAGTATATTTACAATTATGTGAAAAATACATACAAATGTACAGGAATAGCAATAAGACAGGGAATAAAATAAAATCAAATAGGGATTAAAAAGATATCAGAAGTCTCTGGAATTTTAAATTGGTTGACGGATGTATGGAGTACATACAGTACCTTTAGCTGTCTTTGCTCACCTGTAATCAAATTAAATATATATACTGTATATATATGTGTATATATATTAGAAATATTAGAAATCTTTTTAATGTTTTATATGCTTTCCTTGAACTAGTAGCAGCTTCTTTGATTGGTGGTCAAAGTCTCTGGCTCTCTGCTGTCAGGAGAACTGTAGGGGTCAGACAAGAGCCACTAAGTCTTCTGACCAAAAGCTCATCATCCAAACATCAATCCATTACCCACTGCTTATATCCAAAGAAAAAAACAAAGAA